TCTGAATAATTTAAATATAATAAAAATTATACCTAAATTATCAAATAAAAAGCCAACTGACACAAACTACAGTATACAGATTGCGAGTTTTGTTGAATCAAACTTCTGATCTTATTTGGAAACTGAGAACTGGAATCTTTGATGTTTCCCCCAATAGAAAGGGGCACTATGAGTACATTAAAAAATGCCACCTTCAATATATAGCTAGGTCCTGCTTGTGTTGGTACTAGCCACATTGATGTTTGAGTAAAGAAGAAATTTTCAAAATTAGAACCAGATACTGGCCATTAAAAATGCAAACCACAACCTTGCCTTCGAATTTGTCTCTTTTTTAAAAGGAAATAAGTGTGTAAAGGCTTCCTCAGATCTTCTACAACTTGATGGTGGCCAAAGATAAATTGGACCCACTTGCATGAAGTGGCAGCACCATGCCAAGCAATATGCTGGAACAAGTTGTGGAAGGACCCTGGGATGGTGAATTAGGTAGTGGGGCATTTCTTCAAACATGACAAATTTCAAAATCTACACGCATGGCTTTACATGCACAATCCATGCAGACATTCCCGACCCCATCATGGAAAAAATGTTGCATGATTTGGTCATGTTGCAAAGGGTTCCCTCAGCCACAATCAGATCCAAAACCCCAGGTCTGAAATCGAAAATTATTCAACAGCAAGGATAAAAAGGTAGAGTGAGCACCACCCATTCTTTACATTTCATTAGAGTTTCAATGGTTAATGATGAAAAAGAGGAAATATTAAAGTTCACATGCTTAGCCATGATGTTGTAAAAATTATTTATTATAATTTTATAATAATTAATATTAAAATGGAAAAGTCTTCAGAAGATTATTAATTCAATGAAAAATTACTATCAATAAAAAATACACCAATTTAAAAAGATATTAATTATAGAAAAAGCATAATAGGCATTTATAAACTTGGTAAATTATTTACGATATAATCATCTTTAGTATTAGTATGAACTATTATGTTGTCAAAAATTAAAAATCGTGTGTTATATTGATATTGGTATTTAAGCCGAGGAAGAGATCAATTCTATAATTAAACATGTTTATACTGTTATATATGTTGTCAAATAAAAACCATGTAATTAATTGGCGCAGAACTTGTATATCTATATAGTAAATTTTCTTACATCCTTGAGATATTTATGCCCTCCAGTTACTCACATTAAAGAATGTCGAAAAACTGGTAACCATCTAAAACCTTCGAGATAATCAATACGATGATCAATCACCATCAATCATCAACAACCACCATTACGGCATTTTCCGTTATTTTAAAAATTGCTCTTTAAAGTTTCATTTATGCATGGTCTATTGCAATTTTGCTCGTAATGTTGGAATCGAGATAGTCCTAGTCGTAAAACCCCTATATCAAAAGACTGAATATTCATCATCATGATGATGTCAAGGCAGATAAGCAATTTTAGTCAATGCACAAAAAATTAAAAATCAGAAATTTCATTTTTATAATTTTTTTTTCAGAAAAAAAATAAATATATATACATATTAATAAGTTATAATAGAAACATTAGAACAATAGTGACAATAAATCCATATATACGATAGGATGGTAATAAATAACCAGATGAAGAAGTTGTGGGAGGAGGAAACGATGGCTTTGATGGAATAATTCCAGCACTATAAATTTAAAAGATTATACAGTATATATATATTAGTATTAAAATATTAAGATAATAATTATTCTCTATAACAAGAATTTACCTTGTGGCAGATGGCGTTGATGAATTAACGTAAGTATCGGTGACACTATTACCACCACTATCAGTAGTGGTAGTAGTAGTAGGACTAGGGGTTGTCAAGGTGTTAGGATCATAAACATTGAAATCAGCCGAGAAATTATCATTTATGAGAAAATAGTAAGTGCCAGGCAATACATTAACCTTCCAATCATAAAATTCTTTATTAAGATCCACCTTGTCATCAATCAGAAAACTACTCAATTCGGGTCGTTTTATCACCTTTATAATACCAATATTATCGGTGTTTTCTTGTTGATTCATTATTTTCCATGTTATTACGTAAACACTGTTCACTGGCAGTTTATCTTTTGGTGTATTAACCCCTTTGATAATTTCTATTAGTTATTATTATGGGGTATGCATGGGAAAAAAGGAGGTTTGAAGATAGGTATGGGAGGGAAGGATGATATGTGAAAGGCAAAAAAAAAAAGTTTTGTTAGTATTAGTATTAGATCAATTAATAATATAATAATAACTTAATTATTTACGAGATTTTGATGTTCCGATAAATATTATTAGATTTAATAATAAAATTGTAAAAAATTTTATAGAACATGTCATCCTTAAATATAATGAATATATGAATACTGGTATTTTACATAAAAATTTTAATTATTTTTTTCATTATTTCCTTTTCTCTATTTTTATTTTGAAACTTGCCCCAAAATGCATGCATAATCTGTCAAATATTATGATCTACAAATTGGTCAGGTGATCTTATCACATGGTTATGAGAACAAGAAAAATTGTCGCTTGACATTATTAGTATTAGTGTTAGTGTTAGTGTATTAGTATTAGTATTATGTATTGGTATTACCCAAGTTTTGTCGCAAGACCCACCTGGAAAATTTTTCAAATTACGAATACTCTCTAGTACTAGAGCGACTGGAATTCCGCAGCAGCGGCGTCACTACCCATATTTATATGGGACATAATGCAAACAAAACTGGTGAATTTCAGGTTTCAAATTTAGTCATATTAATCTTGCCATTTAAATATAACGAACGTTTTCCCGAACCTAGAATTCTAGTTTGAGATAATCTACAACAGGCAAGTAAGGGATATTTTAAAATATAGCCAGATTTAAAACAAATAAAGAATGATTTCGATAATTGATAAGAAGGTTCTTTTATTAAATCTGACTGCCATTTAATGCGCCTGCTACTGCCTATTGACTCATCATACACATTACCTTAAGTTGGACTACTAAAAATATGTCTTGTTCTGATTTGGAGAGAGCTTGAAGGGCTTCTCGTAATTTAACAAACTTTTCTTGGGGAACTTTGGCCGAGTAACCACAATTACAATATCCTTTAAAAAATCAATTGCTTTTTTGAACTATTATAATTATAATTTTCATATACCTATAAACCTATATATAAATTTTATGTTCACTTTGTAGGTTTTCACAATTGATCTGCTATAAATTTTTTGGGTTATTTGCTAAGATTTAGAAATCACAACCAATAAGGGGTTTCTGTTCGTAATAATACATGTCAATCTAAGTGAAGGTGATAATTTGTGGTAGTAATTGAAGAATCTTGAAACTAATGAGGTGATGAAGAGAGGTGTATCGACTTGGAAAGAAGACTCAAATATAAAGGGACTAATCCAAGTTTTGATTATTATTATAAAAAATCACTTGAATCAAATTAAATCTTTTTATTATGCTACGATAATCTTTTCCGATTAATGGTTGCGCAACAACTTTTTCCTGTAAATGTAAAAATCAAATATATTGAAATCTAATTGTATTTACCATTATTCATTACATAAATTAATCTACAACAATAAGACACTTGCTTGTAGCAGCGGGTACTGGTACTTCAACAACAAGATGGATGTTTGAGTCAGAAGCTTCATCATCAAAGATACTGTCGGTTTTAATTATGAGAATCAATAAATTCAACTTTTTCAAGTTTTCTTCAATGGAACATTTATTTTCCATAGGTTCAGATCCTTTGCCTTTATGTTTTCAGGAACACTAAATTTTTTCCTAATAACATATTTATATGACGTCCAATGATTTTTCTAGCTTCAATATCAACCGGAAAAACAGCTGATGAAGGGTCTCCGTGAAGAGTGTTTTAACCATCCCTATTTTTTGGTTAATAGTAACTGGTGATGGTAATAATTTAACAAGGACAATAATGTTGTGAAAAACAAAACATTTTTGTCAGCATTTTGGACTTGAGCTTTTAGACTTATTTTTTTTTTATGTACATAACAGTGATTAAGTAAAACTGGGTTTTCCGATTCATTTTTGAATAATTTATTATTATAGAAGCCGGATTAAACCAGATTTGATTTTAATATAATAATGATAGCAACTAGTTAGAGCTTGGTTTCTGACATTATTAACGCTTACTCGTCGTGTATTATTTTGTCATGGAAGTTATTTTCCTTTCGTTGATTGCTTTATTTTTTTTTGGCAAAACGCGAAAATATTTATTTTTAAGGGGTGTTGTACAAAAACTATTTTTTTTTGGAACGCGAGATGAAGAATTTAAAACAAGGAAGAGGATTAGGCAGGCATTCATTAATAAACATATTTAGGAGTGTTATTTGGTACAATTCTGTAGAAGATACGCTATTTGTTAATAGGGTCTCTTTTGTGTAAAATAGCCAAGTATCTTGTTGATGTTATTATAATGGAGCGAGATTTATAATGTCTTCTACATTATATGTAATTATAAGATTCTTTATCATCATGACAAACAAACAATTGGTGTGATCATTACTGACATTAAATAATAACAAGAAGTATTGAAGGTAAAAATGCAAAAATAACTATTGAAGATCTCTCTTTCTCCCTTATGGGAAACTGCTCCTAGACAATCTGGAAACGCAAAAACATGATGCAGTATTGAATATTGAGAATTTACAGATATTTGAATATTACCCAAGGCCTGAATATTGATTATTATCATCTTCCATGTATACATAAGGCTATTACATCCAAGTCTTCTTTAAGAATAGAATTACGCAATTTAATTTCAGGAGGGATGGTCTGGCTCTGGAATTTATTGAAAATGCATTGTTGTCAAGAAGGACGTTAAAGCCACTCGCCTCTCAACTTGTTAAATCTTCTTTCATCTGTGAGAAAAATTCTATGGTGCTTGATTGCACGGCGCTTGCTTGTTTGTGAAAGGGAAAATTTTATTAAATCTGACACCTATGATCAGGGCCATACAGGACAATATATAATCTCTTACTTGCAACCTCTATTAATAAGGACTTAAAAAATGGTTCTCAATATGCGTCAAGCAAACCAGAATTATATGAATTATTTATTTTTGCAACTTTTGGGTAGGAACAAAATCTAGCAACAGGAATAAATTCTAGAGCTCATTTTATTCCTTTAAACCAATCGTTAACTAATGGAATAGAAGTAAAACTTTTAGTTTATGATAAACATGACAATAATAAGAAAATCATACTATGTTCCAGATATAAATGATGTTCTAGATATTGAGAAAGAATTAAATTATGGATTGATTTGGGACATAGATATATCCTGCATGCGGAAATTTCGGTGCAGAAACTCGACTACAGTTACCATTTGAGAATGAATTTTTTTATTGCAGAAAATAAAAAATGCTACATGGTTAGAGTGAAGGAAGGATACTTACGAGGAAATAGATACGAAAATGGTAGAGGTATTAAAATAAGTAAATTTTATAATCAAATCCAAAATGGATATTGTCTGTGAGATGTTAGAAAGGTCTGCTTCCACTTCCGCTTCTAATTTCATTTCCGCAAATTCATCATCATCTCTAAGATCAGCACATCGTTGTTCTATGCAACATCTTCCTCCTAAATATTCATAATTGGAGATGCAAATTTCTCTACATAGAGATAGATTTTATGAACATTTTTTATTAAGAGAATCAAATCTAGGTGCATAAATAAAAATTCAAAAGAAAAAAACAAATTTATATAGATATCAAAATGTTGCCCCGGGTGTTATTATAAATTAGACTATCCATATAGAAAACCGAAGCGGAAAATAAAAGATCTTAAATTTAGGTCGGAGACGCTTCGATATATAGAGCAACAGCTCATAATTTTACTATATATAATAAATGGAAACGATCGACAACCATTTTTGTAATGAATGATGATGAGTTCAAAAAATTGACAAAGGGCGAACTAATACTAAACTATAAATTTTTTATCGTATTTAATATTTAATGATTTTCTCACATGACTGTTTTACTGGGTCCGTTTGACAACGACCAGTAGCCTAAACTTTTTTCCCTCGTGAAAATATATGCATAAATATGCAACACAAACAAAGAAAATCAATATTAATATTGCATGAATTAATATATAATTGGTGAGCGGGAGAAATATGAATGGCTGGAATTTTTTGGCTGTCATCTATTTAAAGTAATTAATTAATTTATATTGAAAATCATAATATTACAAAATTAATGACGTAACATGTTCCCGGAAAAAAAACTTTATGCATTGGCCCAAAAAAATCAGTGTAAAGAAAGTATTAGTAGATTTTTTTAGATGAGGCTGAAATGTTTGGTTAGAGATGATGCTAAACAAAACAAACATCTGTAAAATTTCTAAAAATAAATTATTTGAAAGGAAGTATATTAAAGTAACACAACGTTATATAGGGCTTATTGGTAAGGTCATATGCTATTATGTTGTAAAACTTTACACGATATCTAACACGTGATTTATCAGAATTTTTAATGTTTCTTTTGAAGAGAGGGAAGAATTTTTTGACACCAAGATCCATCGATTAGAGCTTGAGATAAGGCCATGTAACAGGGCAAAATTTTAGCAATTTCCATGTATAAAAGCAGAAAGCAACATCATCTCATTTTTTAGTTATAATGGGAAACAATCTATCTATCTTGACAATATTTCATGCTCGTAGCTTTTCAAACGGACAAAATAAATTTCTAGCATGGAACATATGACCTCAATATATTAATTAAAAACTTATTTGTTTCACATGCGAAAAAACGTAATTCTTGTTAAAATTGACTCTTTAATGTTAATTTTAACGGCAATGCATGCATAGATAAATACTTGCATACACGCACATGTAATTGTGATGAGTAATCTGCACGCCACTATCGCTAATGTCTAAAATTTGTCTTGGAATTAGTAAATACAAAAAATACGCGTAATGAACACGTGTAAAAAAAGATCAAAGATCTTTGTTCTTTAAAGAAAGCCAGCTCAACAAAATTCTGGTATATTGTTGATATTTCATATGAATTTAAATGTAAAAAAAGCAAAAGAAAAAAGATCAGCAGCAACAATTTGAAATGCTTGTTAGTTAAATGCTTTTTAATCAAAATGTTCAAAGCAATTCATTCATCATTCATCATTTATCTATCATCCGTTCGTTCGTTCGTTCATTCATTCGTTCGTTCATGATTTTTTTAATCATTATAATAATAATAAAAATAAAAGTGAACCGTAACGGTTAACCATTATTTGTTTTATTAATGTCATATGAAGCATATGAAGGTGCGAGCCGACTTGAAATTAATGTTGAGGCAACGAAAAATGAACATTAGATTATTTCCAGAATGGAATAGAAGGTTAAACAATCAGCCAGGGCGTATTTATGAGAATCATGAATAATAATAGTGTCATTATCCAATCAACAAATTAGACCAAATGACAGTCAAAGAATTAGTGAAAGGGAATTTATTTGAAATCGTGCATCGTGATAATATAATAAATATTTGGCAAAATTTAGAAAATTTATTTTAAAAAAAAATCTTAATATTAAGAAGCGTACTTGAAAATAAAATACACAAGATGTATCCTAAATTTATATTTATCAATTAAATACAGTTTTCTAATTCGTGCTTCAAGCATAGGTAGTTGATTTTAATTATCTTAGAGAGCACAGTCGGTATGCCACTCGTTATTAATCTTAACTGTGTGTTGATTATGACCAAAGAATTTTGAATATATAGTAAAATTGAATCATTTTAATCTTCTCTCATATTTATATATAAATTTATATTGTATAAATGTATGTATTATTGTTATTTTATTTTTAAAAAAATTTAATTCGGAAGAAACAAAGTATTTATATAAAAAATTCTATATTTTAGTATATAATTAATAATATGTAAAATAAAAATAAAAAAATAAAATAAAATAAAAATTTTGTACAAAATAACAATAACAATATAATAACTAATAATAACAATAATATTGATAATAATGTAACAATATATGAATATATTATGATGATAGTATGTAGGATGGGTATAAAAGGATGTGTGTGCGAGTGCATAATAATTACTCTCTTCTTTCTGACTTTTGTTTCCTAAAAAGATGATAGAGAATCCAAGAGCAAAGATTTCACATTATATAATGATTGATTATTGATTATTGGAGTTGGAGAGACACCAAAAATACGTATTATATCTTTTTACTATTTTAATAATAACAAAATAATTAGAAAGAAGGAAGAATTTTTATTTTTTCAAAAAAAAAAATCAACTAAAAATGTAAAAATGGTAATAAAGAGAGGCTGCTACTACTAATTAATGCTCACACTAATAAATAATATATACTAAAAACACTAGTAATCACTAAATATTGATTTTTATTAACGAAGTAATTAAAACATATTGTAAACTTATATTATCAATTATTATCATTAATATCAGTATTGTAAATTATTGTCGTTCTAATCATGATAATGAAACTAAAATTGATCCTGAACCAGATCCTGAACCACTATTAAGAGACGTCGCATCATTATTATCATTATTACTACTATTAGTATTATTAATATTATTAGCGTCTGTAGTAGATTGTCCAAAAGTGATGGAATGACCATTATTATTATTATTATTATTATTATTATTATTATTATTATTTATATTTTGATTAGTATTTGAATTATTATTATTACTGTTGTTGCTGTTATTGCTGTTGTTATTGTTGTTGCTGTTATTGTTATTGTTGTTGGTATTGTTAGCATTATCAGTAGTAGTACTAGTATCTGCATGACTATGACGTTCCATACACCACCACCTATGACCCTCACTCCATGCCTTTGATTGACATGCTTTAGAACAATATTTAGCTTTTCGGCATCTCCTGCATTTTGCAAATTCTCTTGCGTAACTTTCCCATTTCCCACATGCCATATAAGCACATTGACGAACACCGCCGCGAGCTTCATCTTTACGACATGCATTTCTCATAATAACGCCAGCCCAATATTGGATTTCAGCAGGATGAAGCCGATGAGTAAATCGTTCAACTAGAGAAAATACATTGTGAGGAGGATAAGCACTATGAAAGATTGTACGAATATGAGGATATTTTGAAAGGTAGGCTAGTAATTGAAGTGATAAAAGAATGTCTTCTTCACGATACAAAACATCTATCTCTAAAACTGAAGAAGATGATGACGATGATGTGGTAGATGATGGCGATGAATTTGATGGATTTGTAATTGTTGTGATTGTAGTAGTTGTATTATTTGCCGGATTCAAATGTGTTGTCGTAGTTGTTGTAGTTGTTGATCTTAAACTTGGGGAAAGGGTTGCATTTGATGTACCAGCAGTAATTGTAGATGATTCGTCATTATCACCAACTGAACCCCATGATGCTACATCAGATCTCGCATCATCTGAAGATCTTATTTCATAGGTTGTTGTGACATTCGGTAAAAATCGATTTGTAGAAGTAATTGCTAAATAACAATGAATAACAATAATATTTAATATATATATATATGTATATATAATTATATAAAAAAGTATTTCTCAATCAGAAAATACTATTAATATTACCATTATTTTCCAAGTTTCCAACATATGTAGTTGTAGTAGAGGTAGTAGTCATTGGGATTGAAGGAGCTGGTGACTGGATCATTTGTGTATTTTGAGTGAGCAATTGAGCTGCAGCGAGCATTTGTTGTTGATGATGATGATGTTCTTTTTCTAATCGAACATGATTGAGTGCTTTTAAAAAATTGTCTAGTACAGTTATAATAACCGGTACCATTCCTGCATCCACAACTCTGGTTCTGATAGTTTCGCTACCACGTACACCAACATTAGCAACACATTGAAATGCCATAGTCCATTTCCATCCACTTCGTTTATCGTTTACTTTTGTAGTTTTGAGAATACGAATCAAGCGTTCTAGACCTCCATCCATAGTAAGTATTTCACGAATTCTCGGGGAAGTACTCGTCAAGTATGTAAGGTGCGTTAAGGAATTTATCAATGGTAATATTGCTGTGCAGTCAAGTGCTCTACGGTCATAAAGTGCTGAAGTGATACATACTGAAGCACGATTTTGTGAAGGAAAGGCAAAGTTTGATTCTCTCATTTTCAAATAAAAATTTTTTTTTAAATTGATCAAGTACTATTATTTATATAGACAATTTGGTTGTTATATATTAACAAAAACCCAAAAAATAAAATAAAGAGTTTTTACAAAAAGATGAAGAAATGTGAAATAATAGTTAGTAAAAATATTTATATTTTTCTCTTGAAATAATTTTATTATTTTGAGAGAACATAAAACAGAAAGTAAAAAATTAGAATTAAAGGTTACTTACCGAATGATGATGAGAGCACTAAAAAATAATAAAGATTAGTAAAAAAAAATTTTTTTATGTTATTATTGTTGTGTTTTTTTTTTCTTTCTTTTTTTTTCTTCCTTGTTCTTCTTACACTCGTTTTTCTCCCTTTAATATATAAGATTTGTTTAAGATGAATGAATTTGAATGATGGAATACAATGTCTATTTAGAGAAGTACTGGTGAGAGATTGTTCAGGAGTTTTTATATTATTATTTTTTTTTTTTTTTGGTAGAATTAAGAATTGTCTAAAAAAGATCTATAATAGTATATTTTTAAGTTTTTACTTGCTAATATTAAAAACGATGAGGAAAAAAAGTGTAGAGGAAAAGAATATAATATTAATAATAATAATAGTAATAATTATTATTATGAAAAAAAAAAAAATTAAAAAAAAATTTTCTGTGTGAGGGAGGGGGCTAAAATAGAAAGAAAATATTTATATATAAAATGTGTTGATGAGTTTTTGATAATAATAGAAATTAATAATAATAATTAATAATAAAAGTACGTACATATCTTGATATGTAATTATAATTTCATTGACATTGGAAGACAAAAAATTTTTCCATTTAAATAATCTGGCACAGTAAATATACATTGTTTTTTGGTGCTACAAGCCACATTTTTAACTTTTTTAATTTTAAATAGATAAGGTTAATTTTTTTTCTTTTTATTTTCAAATCGTCAGTTTTACATTGAATATATTATTAATATACCCTTTTGACCTAATAACTAGAACTATTCTATATCTAAAACTCCTAAGCATAGTATAAACCGAAATTAAAGAAACCTTCAACAGGTTATGGATGCAATTTTATTAAAATTCACAGCTCCTCCCTCCCCATCACACCATGAATTTTCCACCTTCACATAAAATAATTTTAATTTACAAGAAGTATTAAATGTTACGTATTAGAATAAATGATCATATAAATGCCAGGGTTTGTTTCCTTGAAGCAATGCACAGATGATATCTTTAGATAAAATTTATGTGAATTTGAAACGAAAAGTTAAATGAGAGCCAATCGAAAGGAATTTCGCACCCAAACACAACATTTAATTATACATACAAAGGATTAACAAATAAATAAAATAAATTGTATCGCCAAGTAATAATAATATTAGATTATGAGGAAATGAAACTTTTAAGGATCCTTGAGATCTGAGGTAGGGAGGTATATTCCTTTTCATATTATATATTGGTGATAATAAACCTCAAATTGAGCTTAGGCATTATTAGATTTATAGAAATGTCCTTTCCCACGCTCAACATTGGAGATGTTCCTTGGAAACTTTTCTCTCTATAATAATACGATATATAGAAAATGCGTACCATACTGAAAGGCAAGGAGTACTGTACCAAAAAAAAAAAATAATACCGAGTTCAACATAGAAATTCATATTCTCAATATCCTCCCTCCCAATACGGTACTCGCCTTATGTTATATAAGGCGAGTACCTTACTAAAAAGTAGAGTACGCACTTTCTACATGTCGTTTTTTTCTTTTCTTCAGCAATTTCTACATACCGGTAATAATATGGTTGAGGAAGACTTTTGATTGAAACCTCACAGTTAGTCCTTGATAGTGTAAATATCTGGATTCTTTTTATCAATAAAATGAACATAAAATACTTGGCTCATAAATTTTTTCTAGATGTTTAACTTTGCTATGGAAATACAAGTTTTTTAACATAAGGCCTTTCGGACCAAGAGTAAAAATAAAACTTGTTCCTAAGCCAGTACCAAAGGTCTTCCTCGTGAATATTAAAGATGGATTCATGACCGATTGACTGATACCTAATTTATAAGTATTGGTGATATTAGAGAGATAGTTGATACGTTAGTTGATATATTTCAGCTAGAAACATTAGATTCAGAGTTTCTGAAATTGAAGCTAAACCAAACTTGGTTCAAATTTCTGAAATATATAATTTTTGCTTGTATCGCTCGTTTTTCTCCAAATCATTTAGTCCAAAGAATATTAGAATGATTGTAATATTATATCATAAATAACTATTTAAAACTCGGACTTTTAATCAAGCTTTCTGTTATTTTATCATTTTCATATCCAGCTTTTTTGATACTTTGTTGCATTATCAACTAAATTAATATTGTTCCTTTTATGGTGCACACCATCTATAAAGACATCAAATATTATTTTCAATCTTAAATTCTAAGATTCAATAACCACAATTAGAAGAAGGAGGAAACTTTCTGTTTTTGCAATCTAATAGAAGGTGAAAAAATGCCTAAAACATATTTACTTCCTTTAATTGTCAAAGATCTGTAAGATATCTTTTGATCAATGTGATAATTCCTAAATTTAAACCTTGTCTATAGTGCTGTTTGTTTTTTTTTCTTTGTTCCCACTAACAAATTTCTAACGTAGTAAGAATATCATTCATGTTATAAAAATATCAACAGGTAACTTTTACCAAGTAACTGAAGATCGGTAGTACCAAAGTGGAATTTCTAGAACAGCTTAATGTCATTGGTTGAGAAGAGGAGTGGCTAATTGATTTTTCCTTCGGCCGATGATTACACGTAAAAAAGAATTAGTAAATACCTAAAATCGCCTTCAAGGTATGCCTACCTATATACCATTTAGGTATATCAGTACACTTCAATATACCAATACACTATGCTAACGTGTCATGTCAACGCCCTCACTATGTCGACGCATATGCATACTAATAATTCTCTAATGTGAATTAAATATAATACATTTTAAAAAATACATATGAACCATGAAAACATATTAAACGAAAAAAAGGCTTCGTACAACAATGTTCCTTTATCACTTTTGTCAGAATGTTTATTCTATAACATTAAAAAAGATACATAGGTAAACTCGATAAGTTGACCATGAATGGCGGACCGACTTATCGAGAGAATCTACTTATCAAGAACACTTGACTTTAAATTTTTAGTATCAAATTATTCATAATTATAAGGATTTTATAAATGTAAATGGGGCTTTTAAAAATAATATTTATTTACATTGATCTTTATATAAGTTTTCCGGAAGATTGTGAAATCAACCTTTTTATAAATATAAATATAATAAAAACATAAATACATTGTTCATGATACAAAAAAGAAATGGTTTCTGAATTATCAAATGAGATAATAAATGATGCAATTAATGATATAACTTAAATACAAATGCATTGTTCATGATACAAAAAAGAAACGTTTTTTCTTAGTTAATAAATGATATAACTAACATGATAATATATTGCTCACGATACAAAAAGAAACGGGTTTTCTGAAATAATAATAATAAATGATACAATCAATGATGTAACTAACAAAATAATAAATGATATAACTGACTAGATAATAAAATATTAATATTCATTAATATAATTTTTTTGCGTCGGATCTCACTCAATGCAAATGTCATGTGATACCGATTTATTTAGAGTAATTTACATACGCCCTAGAAAAAGGGTTGGCCGACTTACAGCTTATCGCAGTTTTATATAGATTGACCGACTTATCAAGAGATTTTAATATTGGAAAAAATTTTGGCCGAGTTAGACCAAATTTGACTTATCGAGTTTACCTATGTAGATTTTACATCATAGAACTTTACAAAAAAAAAAATAATTATTCCATGTTTTTTTTAAAGATGATATTCTCCTGCTAGATTATACACGTGATCACATACGCATATAGAGAGTAGCGATTCCTCCATCCTATATACCCACCAACCACCTAAAGGGCGGTAATTTCAGAACCAATAAACATACTAAAAATATTCAGATGTTTAAGAGCAATTTTAGATATGAGTAACTTATTAATAAATGAAAGCAATCCATTTGTGCACAATGACCAAACTGTCTACATGTTTAACCTTTACATTCCATTGCTATTATATATTTTTTGTTCATCGATATGAATGTTTATATTATCATTTAAAGTTTTTTGGTCTTCCCTTTATGTCTTGTGATGATGAGATTTGAAATAGCATCACTTTGATCATTAGATATGTTACTTAAAGAATGCATTGCGTGATTGTATATTTGAAAGAAGTGCTTTCAAAGTAATAGTCAATTCATTGTACATGTTAGCCTTTATTGCACAATCAATAACCTTCTTTCATAATCCAAACAATTCTGCATATGTTGTTGTGGATCTTTTAGCATTTTACAAAAGAATCATTTATAATTGAACGAAACGAATTAATGTTACTTGATGTTGTTGTTTATCGCTGTCATTTGAATCAGGATAAATACACATTTGAATAGCTGATTAATGATCCATCTAGAGTCTTCATCCTTGCCATGGATATTTATTTTTTTTTTTTTTTTAGAATCAACAATGCGACGTTTCATAGGATCAGTTGTAATTGTGTATTGTGTTTACCCGATTTTGTACATTCATATGTTAACCTTCACTTCGTCTTGTAATGTGTAATTATCAAAAAAATTTCGCATGTTCTCATGAAACAAAAGTAAGACCTTCTTCCAAATTCAAAATATCTATGAAATAAAGTTATTTATATTACGTAACATTACACAAACGCATGACCTGAGTAATTACTATAACATCCGATTGATGATCATTTTCATTTTCATTATTTTTAATTGAAAAAAAAAAATGAATACAACGTTTGAAAAGTATTTTAATGAAAATGAAAGGTTGTTAAATACCGAAAACTTTTATGATGTAAAAGTATATGTTGGTGTAGAACCAAACATTAAAGAATTTCATGCACATGCATCTATTGTGTCAGCTCATTGTCTATTTTTTAGCAATGAGTTAAGTAACGCAACAAAAGAAAATGGATATTATATTATCAAAAAAGCTAATATTAGTGACAAAATTTTCAATCTTATTCTCAAGTAAGTTTAAATAAACATATAAATATATTAATTTATTTATTTATTAGTATTGAATATATAATAACAATCTGTTTAATAATTTATTTATTGCCAAAAGGTTTTTATACACATGTAAAATTGAAATTGAAAATTATTCTGAAGCTGAAGTATTGGAATTATTAATTGTAGCCAATCAATTTGGTATTGAGTCACTTTATGAATATATGATGAAATACTTTGTTAAAAATCATGATGATTATATAAAAGAAAATCCAGTTAAAATTCTGCAATTGATTTATGCTAACAAGAATTTTAAGGAATTGGGAAATATCTATTTAGAAAATTTTTGTGAATATAGTGAAGTATTATTTGAGTCAAGTGAATTTAAATTGTTGGAAAAATCAACTCTATTGGAAGTTTTTAAAAGAGATGATTTTTATGCTGATGAGATTGTTATTTGGGAAAACATTCTTGAATGGGGATTGGCAAAACATCCAGAAATCAATAATAATAATATTGAAACTGACATTGAGACCACACAAACCATCATCTCCAAACAAACCAATGAAGGTGCATTCCATCTTTCTGACACACTTTCTGAAATTCTTCACATTTCTCCAGATACAACATCTCAATCATTTACATCTACTATTCAAAATTATGCTGTCAGTGAACATCTCAAGGAAATGACTAGGCATTACATTTGGTGGACAACTGCAATAACCATTGGTTTTCTTAAATTGCATGCTTTCTCTTATGAAACAACTTGGAAAATTCATTATGAAAACGCCAGAAAATATCTAAGTGTAGAAATCAAAGATGTTGAATTTGAAGAGGAACTTTTGAAAACTTGTACTAAAATTGTCGAAGAAAAAGCATCTCATATAAAAATCAGTAATAATAATGTTGAAGATTGGTCATCACAAAATTTTGTTGATTTAGGCAACACATTAAAAGAATTTCTTTCTCTAATAAGATTTCAGGATATTTCTAAAGGTGATTTTTTTGATAAAATTGCACCATATAGCATGCTTTTTCCTAAATCTTTATGGAATAATTGGTTGCAACATTATCTACTTCCTAATAGACAAACATTAAATCTATTACCATCAAGAAGTCCTAAACTCCGACCATTAAATTCAATACTTGAATCATTGACAATCAATCGAAGACTTACTTTTCTTTTTGCAAGTTGGATTGATAGAAAAAGTCCACCATATACTTTGTTCAAAGAAGTCAAATATGAATTCAAACTATTATATCAAAGTAGTAGAGATGGTTTAAATGCATCTGCATTCCATCAAAAATGTAATAATATCAACAAAACTCTTGTAGTTGGCAAAATACGAAATTCAGAGCAATTAGTTGGTGGTTATAATCCACTTAATTGGAATGGAAATGCATTTAAAAGTTATAAAAGTACGAATGAAAGTTTTATTTTTAATATTAGTAATAGGAATGATGCCAATACTGCACAATTTAGTTATGTTATTGACAATGAGCACGCAGTTTGTTGTTGTTCTTCTTATTTACCTAATTTTGGTTATCATGATGGTTATTTTGATGCTTTTTTTAATGAATCTGGTGAAGTTAGAAGTAATACAACTTCTTATAATAACATCAATATAGTAGATAATAGTAAGTTTGATGAATTGGAAGTTTTTCAAATAATTCTTAAAAAAGAAGAATAATAAATATAATGTTAGATTGTCAATTTTAATATTAATTTAAATAATTTATTTAATAACTGTGTCTTATTCACTGAGTTTGAGTCAAATCAACTCAAGTTGGCTCAGCTCATTTGGAGCCTTAATCCTGACAGAAGACTCAACTGAGTTTTTTCATATTTGCAAATAATCTTTTTATATCACTCATATTGATATCATTGATTCTTTCTTTACTTCTTTTTCCAAATGCCAAATGTTCACCAATTCTTCCCGAGTTCCTTGAGATCCGACTTGTTTAATGCACCAATTTACTTGTCTCAGGGTTGGAATAGACCAGTTACATTGAGACTATGACTCTCCAAATAGATTTGAAAAAACTGATCTGATACGAAATCTGTCTAATCTGATTTGATCTGATCTGATCCTTTAAAATCTGATTTGATCCAAAATATCTAATGTATAATTTAAAAAACGATTTTATGAATTAAAGAAATCAATCAAGACTTTATGAAAAAATCTTATGAATTAAGAAATTTTGTGAATTCAGATCGGTTTTTTCTCTTGATTTTTTTCCAAGTGAACTTTTTCAATCAATTTTTAAATTTTCTTATCCTTTTATCCACTCGATTTATTCGCATTAAGCTTTTGAAAAAGTATTCAATAATGGATAAATTTGTTATATATTCGCAAAGTAAACTCTGAAAATAAAGAAAAAAGTAATGAAGGATCCAAATAGGCAGTAGCTAGTACGCAAATAAGGAAACAACTGGACAAGAATTAAATAAAAAAGTACATGAAGATTTTGATCCAAATTGGTTACGAATTTACCCTTGGCTTGAACAAAGTGAAGATAGTAATGGAAATGTGACAATGTTTTGCAACTGGTGTAAAATGCAAAAAAAATAAAAATAATTGCAATGGGTATATACACAATATTGCTAATACCCAAGGCAAACGCTTGAACACATTTAGATATTGATGGTCAATAATAACAATAAACTATAATTACTGACTGCACATTAGTTTGCTAATAATGTGTGGTCAGCGCACTTTAATATGGTAGCAATGTGTGCTAATACCACACATAATTTTGAGTTTGAGTTTTAGAAACTGGTGCCAGCTGCCCCGTGGCAGTTAAAGCTGTTGGTGCTTATGTTGTCGGTGGTAATGTTCCAATAATGTTTTTGAAGTTAGAGGAGAAATTAGAATTAAGAGACAAGCAGTAAGTTATTGGAATCGCATCAACTATCCATCTTACACCAGAAGAAGTGTATGGTAATTTAGAAAGATCTTTCGCAACAACTCTTGTATTGGAATTTATAACCTTTAGGTCAGGGTGTGATGGACATTTGATGAGAACTTTTTGATCTTGAGCATTGGGCTAACTATAGAATCTACTGTGGGAAATAAATGATGATTAAATTAAATCAAATAGTTTAGAAACAAATTCTTTTACTTTTATAAGTAACACAATAGATAATAACTGATAATAAAATAAGATGAATGCGTGCCATTGTGTTATATTATTCTATGTTTTATTGTAATTAGGATGAGGAATAGATAGTATTCACATGGTTCAAAAACGATCAAGAGAAATAAAAATTTTATTAGCGGACATATTTAGTATTTATCGGAACTTTAACTAAATATTAACCAAACAAGGCAAGGTTAATTATCGTTGCGCTAACAAAAAACCGCATTAATTAATAAATAAAAAAATGAATTCACATTTTTTTTTAAACTTCACAAAATTTTTGACTTAACTTTTGATATGAGGTTACCTAATACAAATCAACAATAATTATATAGCCGAAGTTCTGAAGATTGTGTATATAAAATCCATGTTTCCATATTTTCTATAACTTTGTCAATTAAAAATAAAGAAAAGCCGATTATTTTTTAATAGTAATATGGCGCGTTGGACAAAAGTCTAATTATTAATTAGGTCTAAGGTTTCCTACCGAAACCTGTTTAGCCTGATGCTGAAAGGTAAAACTTCCTAATTAGTACCGAAACTGCCGAAACAATGAAAATGCCGAAAATGCCAAACTATAGTTTCAGCTAGGGTTTCTATTCGAATAAGGTTTATTCGAAATATTTGTTTTATTTGTTATGAATTTGAGTATTCGAATAAAGTGAATAAAACGAACAATTCACGAACAAAGCGAATAAAACGAGTAATTCGAATGAAACGAATGAAACGAATAAAACGAGTAAAACAGATAAAATGAATGAAACGAGTAAACTCTAGACTAATAATCAATTAAAATAGTCGATTACTTAGTCGACTATTTATTTGATTAATGTTAATATTAATGTTAGTTGATCAAAAAAAATTTAGTCGATTATACTAGTAGTTAATATTAACTAAAATAGTCGATTTCCTATCTCTTGGTTAAATTATCGCGAAATATATTGAAATTTTGCTAGCAGTTATACCAAAAATTAGTTGTATTTCGCATACGCTATTCTGCCAAAATTCTCTAGTTTCGGCAAGCAACCTTAATTAGGTCAACATCCAAATATATTAAATGGTTGTAAATGGTTATAAATAATTATTAGCTAATTAATTTGGATTTTAACCAATTATTTGCAAGTGAATCTAAGGCTACCTTTATGTTCCAACATTAACTAATAAAATGTTTTGGTGAATCAAAAATAAATTTGTTTCAACATACAGTGAGTCTCGGTATAACGGATATTTAACTAGTACAAATTTAGAAACTATCTGCAAAAAATTGAATTTAATTGGATATTTTTGCAGATAGTTTCTAAATTTGTACTAGTTAAATATCCGTTATACCGAGACTCACTGTAATTAATTTGATCTTAACCAATTATAGTATAAAAAAAAATAACAAAACAACATATTTTGTTTACGTTGCTATTTTTTATTTTAAGGGAGTTATCTTTATCTCATTATGACGAGTATCACGAAGAAACCAATTCAGGTAGCATATCCCAAACTTCCATCTCTAGCATATTTAATAATTTAAAACCTCAAAACATAATTCCTCTTCAAAGTCTGCTTACAATTTAATAGAACATGTTCAAAATACCCACCAACATGGTAGACCATCATCAGACTCTTTAAATATTAATGTGAAAATGGATGCTGAAGTTATATCAAGAGAAAATAGTGCAACATGGAACCATCTTCAGGAATTTGAACTGGAGACGAATCATCTTTTAACCAATCAAATTCATGAACTTTTTCCTTTATTCAATCAAAGATCATCCAATATTTTAGGAACAAATAATGGAATATTAAAGATTGTAAATATTTATTATTATTATCAATGTGACAAAAATTTTATAATAATAATAGGAACTATAGAAAGTGTGCACTGTATTGAAATTGAGTGAATTTTTTCCAGTACACACTTTTTACTCACTGATAATAATATAACAATTTATTATAGGAAAAATCTATTAAATTATTTAGAGAGAATATGAGTAGGAATATTAAATCTTTTTTTTTTTACCAATTAATGATTTTCTTTCCTTTAAATAAATATTATAGTTAATTATTTATCTAAAATCATTAAGTTCATTAACTTTGTGACATTTACAAATTACAGGTAGCCAAACAAGTAATCTAAACATTCAAATGATAATTTCAATGAATTTTTAGGTGATTAAAAATTATTCAAGGATTTTGATTCTTTCTGATTATGAAATGAATACTTTTTTTAATAAATTTGTTGTGATTTATTATTTTTTATAATTAGAAACCAATACTAGAGTTGAAGATGGTAAATAAAATTATCATAATCAATAATTAAATCATTAATTTTTATTAAATTAAAAAATTTTATATTTTTACTAATGATACTGGTATATGATTTTTTATTCTATACAAATAAAATTTTATTATAAAAAAACTTAGAATTTTCTTCATTATTAAAAAAATTCCTTGATGAAAAAAGTGGAATGCGAAACTATGATTATAGATCAATTAGAATTTATGCAAAGGAATTTATTTGAAGAGTTCAAAAAAGAAATGAAAGGTTATAACTGAATTTGATTTTATTATCAAGCCAACTATATTTTATAAATGAGTACAGTATATATAATTAAATGGGTTTTTTATTAACTAATTATTATATAATTTTTTAACTAATTACCTTTTTTTTAAGACCTGGAGTTGACACAGGAGGAATATTTATTGAACACTGGAAAAATTATTTGAAATATTTAATGATTTAAAAGATCTTGTTTTTTGGTGGCAACAATAAATTATTTCAAGGTGAATACACCAAACACAAGTAATACAATTTCAACTGATGATTTAAAAGTAAGAAGCATATTGATGATTATTTTTTGTTTTAATCAATAATATATTATTTTAAAAAATTTTGTAGATTTTTGTGAAAACATTATCCTTAACAATGTTACATAATGGACCATTTTCAATATGGTTGGACACATCTGTTATGAAATTTGCACTTGGATTTGAAAATGTAATCAATTTTGAAGAGTAAATATTCACATGTATAATTTGGCAGAACAAATTATACATCTGGTAGAAATAGGTACACCAGGGTATGATCTTTTAACTATTCCTGAATTTAAAATCTGGGCTGAGCATAAAAATCTTACAGTATGTATTATTTAAATTTCATTAAATTTCATATTGTTTATTAAAAATTACAAGCTATATCTATTATTTATTTTAATTTTAGGCAAAACAATGTTCAAATAGTCAAGAATCATTAAATAATTATCTAGATCTTTATGTGAAGATATATTTTTTGTGCAATCATGCTTTTGTCAACTAAAAACCAAATGAATCAATTGGGCTTTGTCATGCTTTTGTCAACTAAAAACCAAATGAATCAATCAGGCTTTGTCAAAGTATATGTTGTTAATTATTTACTGGTTTTTTTATAAAAAGAATTACCAAATTACTTGGATTATAAAAAAATAAAGGTTCTTTACCATATGAATTAACAACAAAATTTTTTTATTTATTTTTGAAAATGCAAAGAATATTTTTATTGTTCAAGAAATTAGTCAAGTTTTTAAAAACTTTGCCACCACTAAAAGAAACAAATACTAGTTATTTTCATATGGTTGTAAAGATTCTGATATTAAATGTTTTGATAAAATGACTCCAATCACTGTCTTTCATAGTTATATTTATGCATGCATTTACTATATTAATAAAATCATAGTTTCTTGTTAATAAGTATTTGATATGAATAGCAGCCTTCTCTCCATATGTTAAACTCCATCACTAATATCTAATGTCTTTAAAAAAAAAATAGAAACAGATTTGTTAATTGATATAATAAAACTTTTTTGTCAGGTTTTATTAAAACCCTTGGTGCCACAAAAGATTTCATAGAATTTTTTAGTGTATGTGTGTGGTATAAATAATGGACTTGAATTGTCTTTTCCATATTTATAGAAAAGATTTCTTGGCTTGACCATTGTTGAATTCTTTTAATTAAGCTTACTTCATCATTTATTGTGATTGTTGGAGTATCAATATAGTTGCTAATTGCAGTGGTATTTGAATTATATGTATAAAAGGATCTAGAATTTTGTCATTTTCAAATAATTATTGCAATTTTATTGCTACCTTTTCTTTTTACTGATACTACTATTATACCTAATCATGTTATCATCACAAGTAATGAGCCGGATTCAGTCTTGTTAGCCAATATTTAAAATATCAATGAAATTTTCCATTTGGTTTAATTTTTTGAAACTGTTTATTGTGTTGATATCAAATTTTTTGAAATGGGTTTATTGTGTCTGTATATCCAAATTTGCTATGAAGATCTTCATTTAAGATTTGGAATAAATATTCCAGTTCACTGTCATTTAGTGATAAATTATATTTGATTAAAAATCCTATAAAGTAAAATGATAAAATATATTTAAAGTAAATAAATGAAAAAATTTATTGTTATTACACTATTGTCGTCATTGTTAACAGCCTTATAAGTTTCTATAATAATGGGCAGCTATACATATATAACCAGTTACTTGAATTAGAAACTAATTTCACCCAATGACCACCCTATATTTTTTTTGCCAAATCTAAATCAGGGCTGGAAATAGTACTTTAAAAATCCGGATTTTCCTTTTAAAATTTTTAACTTCCGGAAAAAAAAAGAGTTGCCAGATATTTTTCCTTTTTATTTTTTTTTTTTTTTGTAGATTTTCCATATGCATAAAAAAACATTACCAAAATTTAATATATATATATATATATATGTCGTTACTTCAATATTTTAGAAAAGAACAACCAGAATCACAATTTTTATCTTTTTAAT